GTATAAAGTATAAGATGCCTTTTTTCTTTTTTTTCTTGTTTTATTTATATTAGTGTAATAGTTGACATAGAAAAAACCTTAACACATCTGTGTGTATATATGCATATGCATGTGTGTGTATACATATACATATGTATATACACATATATTTTTTTTAATGAAACTTGTTAATATCATAAGAATCTGTGAATCTACTACCTAATGTAAGAAGTGGAGCATGTCCAGGCGTGGTGGCTCACTCCTGTAATCCCAGCACTTTGGGAGGCTGAGTCAGGAAGATCACGAGGTCAAGAGATCGAGACCATCCTGGCCAACATGGTGAAACCTCATCTCTACTAAAAATACAAAAATTAGCTGGGCTTGGTGGCACATGCCTGTAGTCCCAGCTACTTGGGAGGCTGAGGCAGGAGAATCACTTGAACCCAGGAGGCAGAGGTTGCAGCAAGCCAAGATCGCACCACTGCACTCCAGCCTGGGCAGCAGAGCCAGACTTTGTCTCAAAAAAAAAAAAAAAAGGTGGAGCATGACAATTACAGTACACATGGTTGTTGCTACTCTTGTGTTCCATTTTATTTTCCTTTATGAGATAACACTATTGGCTGGGCGCAGTGGCTCATGCCTATAATCCCAGCACTTTCGGAGGCCAAGGCAGGTGGATCACAAGGTCAAGAGATCGAGACCATCCTGGTCAACATGGTGAAACCCCGTCTCTACTGAAAATACAAAAAATTAGCTGGGCATGGTGGCGCGTGCCTGTAATCCCAGCTACTCGGGCAGCTGAGGCAGGAGAATTGCCTGAACCCAGGAGGCACAGGTTGCAGTGAGCCGAGATCGCGCCATTGCACTCCAGCCTGGGTATCAAGAGTGAAACTCTTGTCTTTAAAAAAAAAAAAAAAAAGAGATAACACATTTGAATTGTATAGTCAACATTTCTTTTACTTTTTAAGAAACTTTTAAGATTTTATAGTTATAGTTTTTAGGAAGTTGCAAAGAAATGTGGAGGGAGAGCCTGCGTACCCTTCACCCAGCTTCGCCCAAATTTAACATCTTGCATAACTACAGTACCTGATTCTGAAAAGCAGAAAATTGACCCTGATACAACCCACAGAGTTATTTGGTTACACGTGTACTCCTATGTGTTCATGTCAGTTTATCATATGTATATTTTTGTGAAACTTCCATCACAACCAAGATATTTAACTATTAAATAATATGCCAGGCTATTATTAAACTATATAATTATATAATTATAACTATTAAATTGTATAATTATATAATTATATTATATAATATTATAATATTAAATAATATGCCAGAGTGATTGTTTCACATTTTTATATAGATGAGGAGTGTTTTAAAACACTTATTTTATTGATTTTATTTTCTTTCTGTAACTTTTCCATCTTTGTCATTTATGGTTGAATTTGTGTTCCTCAGTGATATTTGTGTTTCAGGGTTTTCAGTGAATAATAATTTCAATGAATAATTTCAGTGAATAATAATTTATTTTATTAAAAGACATCATAGGGCACACAGATTCTATGGATGTATCCATATTAAAAGTCACTCTGAATAACTGACATCAAGAATGTATTTTTAAAACTCACACGTGTACTCTTAAATTTCGCACTTAAATTTTCCAGTTAAATTCCTAAGTCAAAAATGAAATCCGATTTCTGCTTCTGAGAAAACTGGAGTAGAAGCTGTTCTGCCTCTTCCTCCAACTTAAATGCAACTTAATACCTTGGACATCACATAGAGAAAAACGTTTAAAGACTTATTAAGGCAGAGAGAAGACGGCCCACTCTTAGGGAGCTGAGAACTGGAAATGACAACATGACGAGAGCCCTGGGATTTCATATTTGCCGCACAAATTCCGGATGAATAGAAGCTTACAATTCCTCCTTTCTTCTATTTCCCTGTTAAGTAATACAATGATTATTTTACCATTTCATATTTTTATTTACTTCATTAGCTGCAGTGAACTCTTATTTGGACTGTCTGTGTTTTGGTTCGTAGTTTTTATTTGGTTTCTTCATTTCCTTCATGGTGTTACATTAAAGTCTGGGCAGAGGTCCCAGCTAGGAGCTGGGTGTGGTGGCCTGCACTTGTAATCCCAGCTACTCAGGAGGTTGAGGAAGGAGGATCACTGGAGCCCAAGAGTTAGAGGCTGCAGTGAGTTATACACTGAGTGTGGCACCACTGTACTCCAGTCTGGATGACAGAGTGAGACCTTATCTCTAAATTAATTAATAGTGAAGTAAAAATAAATGGGCCATTGTGGAATTGGGGGTGGTAGATATGGGAACACAAGACTCATCTAACCATTGAGCTTCCTTTCCTTTTTGCTCTTCGTATTTGTACCTGGGGCTGTAAGAGTGATCGCTTTGGACACTGTATTCTAGTTCTAATGTCCATTCACTTCTGTGGCTATAGAGACGGGGGTGGGCCAGCCTCACTGAGGATAGCACGCTGTTCTTTAAGTAATGTTCCTACTTTCACACCTCAACGTTGGTCCTGTGGAACAAGATCACATTTTTTTTAATTCAAGAGGCTTGATGTATATATTATTTCATAAATAAAAACGCATCGAATATATCTGTAGAAAATAATAAATCAATGGAAGAAATTAGATTGGGCTAAAATTATTTCATGTAAAATAATGGAAAAACTTAAAGAGATGATAATGTTTCCAGTGCAATTAACATTGTTTTGACACAATATCTAATTCTGAATTCTTTATCATATAAATTTGTAAAAAACCTGGAATCGCATGCATGGCATATGTGGGGATATGGTAATAACAGAGTGAGACATAAGACTTATCTCATGTATTGGTTATCTATTGCTGCATAAAAATATGCAGCAAACTTAGTAGTTTAAAATAGCACTCCTTTGTTTCCTCAGGGTTTGCCTGGTCATAAGTGCAGGTGTGACATATCCGGATTTATCCCATGGATTGCCTCTCAGTTGTGGTGTCAGCCAGGCCTTGTTCTCATCTGGAACTCAGGGATTCCACCAAGCTTGTTTAGGTTGGTGGCAGGATCTGGTTCTTTGTGTTTCTAGGACTGAGATCCCCACTTCCTCGCTGTGGACTGGCCAAGGGCTGCTGGGTTCCTAATGGCTGCCTCCTGGAGGACTTGGGCAGCTCCCCTCTTCCAAAGGCACAGGAGGATCTGTCCCAGCTTGAACCTCTGACCCTCTGTAGGAACTACCATTGGATCAGGCCTGGCCATGCACTATAGTCTCCTTCAAACTGATTACCTCAAAATTGACTGATTTGGGAGATGACAGCTACAAAAGCCCTTCACCTTTGTCACCTGTTAGAATCTCATCACAGAAGTGAAATCCACAACTGCCATAAGTCCAGTCCACAGCCAAGGGGCATTTCAAGGCCAAGAATCTGGGGGCCATCTGTATCAGTCAGGGTTCTCTAGAGGGACAGGATTAATAGGATATATATATATATAGATAGATAGATAGATAGATAGATAGATATATCCTATTAGCATAGGATGTATAGATATATATATCCTATTAATATAGGATATATAGATATCTATATATATCATATATGTATATTTATATGTGTGTGTGTGTGTGTGTGTATATATATATATGTCCTCCTTTACATACACACACACACACACACACACACACACACACACACACATACAGGGGAATTTGTTAAGTAGTATTAACTCACACAGTCACAAGGTCCCACAATAGGCTATCTGCAAACTGAGGAGCAAGGAAGGCAGTCGGAGTTTCAAAGCTGAAGAACTTGGAGTTTGAGGTTCAAGGGCAGAAAGCATCCAGCACAGGAGAAAGATGTAGGCTGGGAGGCTAAGCCAGTCTAGTCTTTTCATTGTTTTCTGCCTGATTTATATCCTGGCATCACTGGCAGCTGATTGGATTGTTTCCACTCAGATTAAGGGTAGGTCTGCCCTTCCCAACCCACTGACTCAAATGTTAATCTCCTTTGGCAGCACCCTCACAGACACACCCAGGATCAGCACATCACAACAGTCAATCCAATCAAGTTGATACTGAGTATTAACCATCACACTATCCAAGAATTATTCCTGGCACATCTCACAAACTTTATTCTAGTGAAGGGTTCTCAACTTAGCTGTAGTTCAGATTTTCAGAGAGCATCTTAAAAATGCACATTAATAGGCCTCTATGTAAATCTGATTCAGATTCAGAATTGAATTGCATCTCCTGAGTCAGAAATATATTAATATTTTCAATAAGCTATACAAGTTACTCTTATGCAGCCAGCCTCATGCCCCTGGGACTTCTGATAACCACTGATCTAATAGATATAGACATATCACCTATCTTTCATTTTATTAAAATAGTATGGTATTTTCAAAACTACAGCTGAGTTCATGAGGGGCCGAGTAACATAAATGGGATCATTAAAAACTAAATGACAATGGCAGAAGCACCACTGTAGCCTCTAGAATTAGCAATCAGTTGCTCAAATCTTCAATTACAATATGTTTTAAGGGGTCAGCCTGGCCCCCCTCACCATAAAACTGAGTTAATAGCTAAGTCTCATAAAAAAGTAATCACTTCTTGCCATTAAATCAATAGACTATTCCTCACTATGAATGCTTTTACATATTATCACAAATTTAAACTTGGAGTCTCATTCTAAATTTAGATCCAAGTGCTATGTACTGGCAGATGATATTTTGGGCAGATTACCAAATATCCTCTTGCACTTTTTTAAAAGTCAATTCCTCCAACATGTGTTCTACAGAATTTAATCTTGTGACATTAGTCATTTGGAAAATACTACCTAATGTCCTCTCTAGATGATTTACAGGGATTTGAGCTATTCCTAGAAATTGACAAGAAAGTGTGGAAAACTCTGTATGATATGAGTGTAAATAGCAAGTTTGTCTTCCTCATAGATACGTTTCAGTGTATAGATTTCATCGCTTATTTTGAATGCTCATAGGACTTATTTTTTTTATTTCTGCATCTAGACTGCTCTCCAGAATGTTGAGATTGCCCAAGAAGTGACCCCAGCAAAAGAAAAATATTGCTCTACCTAAATTCAAGTAAGACCATTACTTTGCAATAATGTATCATGTGTAAATTAGTGAAAAAAATTGACTGTATTTGTCTACTCTTTAAGAAACGATGGTTTTCTTTGAAATTAATCTTTTTGGAGCCTCCTTCTCTGTTGTGGAAAAATAACATAAAAAACAAAACCTCCTGTTATGGAAGGAGTAGAAATATTCAGGACATATCTTAATGTTTAGGTGTAGTTAGACAGCATTGGGATATATCTTTCCACAGTACTTACTCAAACAGCTATGTTGAATTTGTATTGTTTCTTTAAAAAGCACTGTTCATAGGAATGAGAAAAATCACTTAGTTTTTCAAAAATACTCTTTATTAGGTGAGGAGTCAGTGTCTCTGCATCAAGATGGTAACTGGAGTTACACACTTCAGCGAGCTGTGAGTTCCTAAAACAGGCAGACACTCAACAGCGGGAGGGGTGCTTGGCAGAGTGACTGGGGACTGCCAGGTTCTCTTTTGTTTGTTCAGAGAAAGGGGGGAATGAGTGTGTAAGTAGAACAATGAGTCAAATCCCTTCAGGAAGGGAGTGTGAGTCAGCATGGGTGACACAGGTGGTTCAATGACCTTGCAGCAGGAAAAGTGTTACTTTAGGAAGGAATTATACACTATCTGTTAGAAGGAGCTGAACCTGGCTGGCAAAGGTTAGGATTGAAGTCACTAAATCTATTTTTATAGTAAGCTGTCGTGGTATTTTTGAGGGCTTATGTCCTGGCAGTCCAAGTACTTGTAGTATGGCGTTAGAAAGAATAATCAAACTCACTGATATCTGCTAAGTTTCAATGAATGCCAGTACTGAACAGTATATTGTATGCATAGTTATGTACTCAGCTATACTTAAATGTGGTATAAAAGTGGCAAGAATCTGGAGTTTATCGTGGGTTATAAAAACCATAAAATTTTGAAACTAGATGTAGCCATGCGGATTGCCTATTAAGGAGATTTCTAGGCTGGGTTTTCAAGGACTATTGCAAGTTCAGAGACACTGAGGATTAGGCAGTTAGGGCTCAAAGTTGTCCTGTTTGCTAAATATTCCGTTAGACATGGAAGGCACATCATGCTATGTTTCTTCTTGGGGAATGTACATGGGGTTGGGTTGCTAATCGATTGATTTTCCTCACCAAATCGGATCCTTAAATTATTCAGGTTGCTCTTTTAAGCAATTATGTCTTTTTTAAAACTTCACTTCAAGTTCTGGGATACAATAGAGAACGTGCAGGTTTGTTACGTAGGAATATATGTGCCATGGTGGTGTGCTCCACCTATCAACCCATCAGCTAGGTTTTAAGCCCCACGTGCTTTCGGTATTTGTCCTAATGTTCTCCCTCCCCTTGGCCCTGACCCTGCAACATTCCCTGGTGTGTGACGTTTCCCTCCCTGTGTCCATGTGTTCTCATTGTTGAACTCCCACTTACAAGGGAGAACATGTAGTGTTTGGTTTTCTGTTCCTGTGTTAGTTTGCTAAGAATGATAGCTTCCAGCTTCATTCACATCCCTGAAAAGGACGTGAACTCATTTTTTATGGCTGCATAGTATCCCACGTGTATATGTGCCACATTTTCTTTATGCAGTCTATCACTGATGGGCATTTGGCTTGGTTCCAAGTCTTTGCTATTGTGAATAGTGCTGCAATCGATACACATGTGCCTGTGTCTTTGTAGTAGAATGATTTGTAATTCTTTGGGTACATACCTAGTAATGGGGTTGCTGTGTCAAATGGCATTTCTGGTTCTAGGTCCTTGAGGAATTGGAACTAATTTACACTCCCACTAATGGGGGAGTAAAAGTATTAAACAATTATCTTTAAATTAAACAGTATATTTTCACCATTCACATAAACTCAGTAATTTCCAAAACACATTTTCCACAAAGCAAAAAGAACCCATTCTAATGCATTATAAATGCCATTATATAGCCAAAGTTTTCAAGTTATTTCTCATAGCTAGATCTTTTTTCATAGTTAAATATGTAGTTCAAATACAATCTCATAGGGGACTCCAATAGATAACAGAGCAAAGAAAGAGCCTTTTTATGGAAGCAACAGTGAGTGATCTAGAACTTGGCGGCTCTGTCACTACCTTCATTCCTCCTAAATCCATTCCCATTCCCCAAACCTCCAGACCAAGTGGATATTAACATTTCTTTGAGCCCTGTGATTCCTTTGTTTCTCAATCCTTAATTTGGAAGCACCTGTGGAAGAATCAATTGAAGGATGCAGAGAGCAAAGGATAGAAGCTGGAACTTCCAGAATGATTCTGTGCTAGCCGCCAGTGGCCGAGCTGCTGCACAAGAGGCAGCATGCATTCCCTTCTTAGACTTTCCCGGTGCTAGGGGCTGCTCTGTATGCTTTCACATCGCTACTGTGCAAAGGTTTCAAAGTCTCATGTACAGCAAATTCTGACTAAAGCCCAATAAAAGTACAGGTTATACAGGGAAAAATGGAGAAAGGCTGTTGTAAGGAAAATAATGGAAGTTCACTTGAGGGCAGCTATTCCCATCTTCAAACCACCTTCTTCTGACAATCCTGAAAAGGGGTTAATATTTTGTTATTTCCTAAAAATATAGCTGGATGCATTTAAAGTCTTCCTCTTTCTTCTTAAATATATCTCTTTGCCTCTTCATGTTTAATTCATGCTCATATTTGCCCACATTTAAAGCTAGGCTGGCTTCACGTTGGAATTGAAAATAGCCCCAGGAGCATGAGCAGCCCCGAGAGCCTGGGTGTCTGCAGCTGCCACAGCTGGGTCCCTGCCCTCTGTGCTCTCTGCCCTCTCTACGGGACCAGCGGCAACCTCAGGCTTCCTGGGCATTTTTAAATTATAGAACAGGAGTATTATAATAAAAACACTTCACATGTTAATACACAGATTTGCTGCTGTTGCTGCTTTCGTGTGCTTTGAAGATGTCTGAGGCCTCTTCCCTTGAGCTTCGATTAGTCCTTCTGCTGTGGCACGCCCCTGTCTGTGTCACAGGTTGCAGCTGTTGACAGGATGCAACTTCTATTGGCCCATGTGCCACCAGGATCATTGTTCAAGTTCCCAATATCTCAGGCAGGTTTGTGATTTGGGAGTCACTGGCTTCACTCGGAAATCATCTGTATTTCTAGTTTTGCTGACTGTGTTGTCTGTCACAGATAAAATGACACAATAATCAAAGGCAAGCAAGCTTAGCCTTCAGCTCAGCACTGACCTCATATCCTGGGCAACTTTCTGAACTCATTCTAACCAGGACCCACCACCCATCTCTTGTTTCCTGGATCTGATGGCAAAAGCTTCATGTAGGGAAGGCAGGTAGACTCCCCTGCTGGGGCGCTAATAGCAATGAGGTTCCTCCAGACTGGAAAAAAAAGACGCTGACTTACATTTGTTTGCTTGTTTTATGTTTCCAGGAGAGTTCCATGAGAGGGAAGAAACTAGTCTGGTGACCTCAGGATTAACTATTGTACCAAAATGTATGAGCTCTGAAGGAACATTTCAGAAAAATTGACCAATTGAAGGGAACATTTCTGTAGCTCCATTTTGTGCATTTCAAAGACTCTCTTAGTTGAGAAAAGTCTAGCTACCTTTAAAAATATTCTCTTTTACTGTTTGTTCTCCCCTAGTAGGTCTGAGGGGACTTCTGGTAGATAGCAAGTTCTCAGCATTGCTTTCCTTCATGGCAGATTAATCTAGGCTGCTTTAGTCTTGGTGATTCCATCTCCCCCTGTTCAGTCAAGTGAAGGTAGCACCACGCTGTGCCGGTAAGGACCATTGGCAGCCTCTTATGACTAAAAGTGTGGGCCTGTATTTGTGTTTGTCTGTTACATAGAGTCACAAGAAAATCTTTAGGTCACCATCAGACACCTTTGGTAATACAAGAAAAAACAAAAAAGTCTCAAAAAACTATTCTCATAAATCTTACTGTGTTAAGTGCTGCTTATAGTATCAAAGCTTCAGAACAGAATGACAGAAGCTCTGAAGCATGACAGCTGAAATGTTGGATAGAGGCAGTGTCTCCCTGTGAGTTTGGGGTCGTCTTATTCACATGACTTTCCACATTCACTCAGTCCTACCCGCTTTCCGAATTTCAGAGGCTTTCCTTGCCTTCTGGCTGCAATATTCATGGTGATGGCTCTCACTGCCCCGTGGTTACCTCGTGTCAGCTGCCATCAGTGCCTCATTCCTGAACATCCCTGCCTGCCAGCCCCTGTCCTGGATGCAAAGGCCAATCTTCACTTCAGCCTCAAACATTCCCATGGAGGAGGAGTCACAGCAGCACAGTGTCTGCTCCAACCACGCAGGACACGCAAAGGCCCTGGTTTGCCTAGAGAGGCTGGTTACACTCAGCAAAAGCACAGGGTCAAATGTTAAGAGGCAAACGTTGACAAGTGAAATGTTGACAAGTAGGCTGGCTTCATGGAAAGGAAGACTTACTTAGCCTTATAGGGCCCTGCATACACAGCCACACACTTAGTTTAATGCTCTGATCTCTTTAACACTTGTGAGTTTTAATTTGCATACATTCACATGTGTGCTTTGTGTCGTAGTGCTCTATGGATCTTGAAAAATGATATTGTCATGGAACCATCATTACAGTGTCACACAGAGGAGTTTCATTGCCCAAAATGTCCCCTGCGCTTCTCTTATTTAATTCTCCTCATTCCTGAATGTCTGGAAACCACCGATCTTTTCACTGTCTCTGCCGTTTTGCCTTTTCCCAATTGTCACATAACTGGAATCCTACAGTAGAGATCCTTTTCAGAATGGCTTCCTTCACTTAACGCTACACATTTTAGATTCATCTGTCTCTTTGTGGTTTGATAGGTGATTTGCTTTCTCAATTATATGCCATTCTATGGTATACCCTGTTTATTCATTCATCTTCTGAAGGCAGTTAGGAATAAAGCTGCGATAAAAGTATTCAGACTGTACATAAGCTTTCAAATCAGTTAGTAATGCTTAGTAGCATAACTGCTACATCAAGTGGTAAGCTCTGTAAGAAACTCCAAATCCGTCTTCCAATGTGGCAGAACCATATGACATTCTCTTCTTCACCAT